TTTATTTGAGTATGTTTTACTTCCCCCTTTGAGCCATGTATAAAAGGTCCATTTGTTTTCAGAGGTTAAATTTAGTAACAGTAATGATATCTTTTTTTGGGGAGAGTCAAGCCCCTGATAAGGTGTCTACTGTTCAGTTTTCAGGCCAAGCTACCCTAAGAGCCAGTACTTATCAGGACCACTATCTTGTCTATAACTACCTGTAATTAATTTCTCACTGGGTTTTCTCCATACTCTAACCCAAACTCCATGTTTTCCTCCTTTCTCCTTGACTATGGCTACTTTTATCTCCCGCTATTAAAAGAGCAGGTGGTGGCAGCATACTTCTAAGAGAATAGAGTGCTACTTTCTATTCTCTCTTATTCTAGTAAATTTCCCCTTGTTATTTGTTCTCTGTTTTCTCCTACTTTTCTCCACGCCGAGTCTCCGGTTCCCTGAATTGAGCCTGAATACTTCCAGCTCCTCCCCAGCGCTGTATGAATCTACCGGGTTTAGTATTTCCCATCATATAATAATAAATCCACGCAGTCTCTGCCTGAGGAAACAGACAATATGGCATCGCCGGGTGCTTTGTCGACCCCAGGTTGGGACTGGGGTGGAAGCTGCATTTCATGGTGACCCGGCGATTTTAAAGACATACAGGTAAATTGCAGCCTTAATAACCCTCATGCGGTCGACATAGCCTAGGAATAAAAAATAAAACTTTATCTGGAGTATTAATCCCAAGAGTAATCAACGAAAAATGGAAATTTTCGTTTTCTATTTTTTATGCGGTATTATTGCACTGAGTATTAGCATTTTTATGATAAATTACGTAATCAAGCCTTGCACTCAAATATGGATTTTAAATCTGACCTTGACATTCTTGCGAGCCATAGAAACACTTCAGTGTATCGTAAACCAACATGTTAAAGGCTTGACTACAAAAATTTCTTCGCTTGTACATATTCAATGGAAACGAAATTCTATTTCCACATTAGCTACCAAGACTTTTCATATATGTTCACATTATTTCAGTCTTCATTGCGAATTTGAATTTATGCGACACAACCTATTTTTTTTGAAGGACTATAAAAAAAACTCACCACATTCTTATGCTGGGTAAGTTACAAAATTATTACAAAGGTCCTCATTACCCAAATAATTTTCACATTTTTTATATTCTATTATCTTATTATATAAATTTGATGTTTAGAATATGTTAAGATATAGTACTTATAACTGATTTTCTCTGATTTTATACAGTTCCTGATGATGATAGTACAAAGTTTACATCTTCATTATAAAAGCTTACTTCAAAAGAAATCTTCTCTTCCTGTATATATATATATTTATATAATATATTATATATATATATATATTATATATTATTCTATTTATATATATATATATTTTATATATATAGCTTTCCTATCATACATATATATATATATTATATATATATATATATATATATGGATGAGAGATGAGAGAGAAGGAGAGGCGAAGAGGTGAGAGGAGAGAGATGAGAGAGAGGAGAGAGAGATGGAGAGCGAGAGAGAGAGAAAGAGAGAGGAGGTACAACGTGTGTGGTGCACTTGAAGAGTCTGTGTGGACAAAATAAACTTTGGTTCCATGGAAGTAAGACGGAAATGTATGAGGAGTTATAGTTATACAAACGCTCTTGTATGGGGTGTGAAGCTATGGGTGGTGATGTTGCAAACGATGGAGACGCTGGAGGGCAGTGTGAAATGTCGTGTCTGAGGGAATGTGTGGTGTGAATATAATGCAGAGAATTCATAGTTTGGTGCGTTGGAGGTGCGGGACTACCAAAACTATTATCCAGATGGCTGAGAAGGGGTTGTTGAGGTTGTTCGGACATGTAGAGAGGCTGGAAAAAAATAGAGAATGATTCGAGTGTATAAATCTGTTAGTGGACGGGAAGGTGGGGATAGAGGTCGTCCCTAGGAAGGTTGGAGGGAGGGGAGTATAGGAGTTTTGTGTGCGAGAGGCTATGACTTTCAGCAAGTATTAGTGAGCGGGTTACATAGGATCGTTTGGAGACAATGGTTTTAAAGACTTGGACGTGCTGTGGGAGTGTGAACAGGTAATTTATGAAGGGATTCAGGGAAACGGCAGGCTGGACTTGAGTCTAGAGATGGGAAAGGGGACAGTTGCCGGCACTTGAAGGAGGCGTTGTTAATGTTGCAGTTTATATAATTGTAGGTTAGCACGCAGGATGGCAAGACAGTGTGGGAGTGATTGATTGTGAAAGTTTTTCATTTCGGGCCATTAATGGTGAAAGTTTTTTTTCGGGGCACCTGCTTCGGTGGGAGACGGGGCAATGTGCTCATACAAAAATAAGATATATTTATTTATATTTATATATTATATATATATATTTATATATATATATATTATATATATATATATATATATATTATATTTATGTAGGTAGTAGGTTGGTAGACAGCAACCGCCCCCAGGGAGTATACCGTCCTGCCAAGTGAGTGTAAACGAAAGCCTTAATTGTTTTACATGGATGGTAGGATTGCTGGTGGTCTTTTGTCTGTCTCATTGAGCATGCAAGATTCAGGTATGTCTTGCTAACTTCTACTTACACTTAGGTCACACTCACATACATGTACAAGCAACATATTACACACCCCTCTGGGTTTTCTTCTATTTGCTTTCTAAGTTTTTATTCTTGTTTTTTTCCTCTTATCTCCATGGGGGAAGTGGTAACAGAATTTTTCCTCCGAAGACATGCGTGTTGTAAGAGGCGACTAAAATGCCGGGAGCAAGGGCCCTAGTAACCTCTTCTCCTGTATATATTTCTAAATTGTTTGTTTAAAGGAGAAACTTTTCGTTTTTCCTATTGGGCCACCCCGCCTGGTGGGATACGGCCGCGTGCTGTTGAAAGAAAGAATATAAATATATACTATATATATATATATATATTTATATATATATATATATTATATCTATATATATATATTTTTATATATTATTTTATATAATTTTAATAAAAAAATTTATATGGAAGTACAACCTCTATAGCTGGAATGGGGACCTCATCCTAGAGAGACAATAACGTACCTCAGGGAAATCAAGGTTCTCCCCCTCATGGCAGCAGGTTCCTTGATGTTGGTGAGGGGTTTGATTTAGGGAATTGGAAACTGTGCTGCAGTTCCCCGAATTAAGCCTGAATGCCTTCCACATTCTCCTCACCCCGGGCGCTGTATAATCTTAGGGTTAGCGGCTTCCCTTTGATTATAATAAAAATAATAATAATCAAGCTTCTCCCGGAGCTGTTTGAATATTTTTCTTCTACACCTATATATTTTTTATTCTATGTGAAAACATTTATTAATAAACAAAAACAATTTATATATATATATATATATATATATATATATATATATTATATATATATATATATTATATTATATATAATATATATATATATATATTATATCTGGAAAGAGGAGGGAGACGAATCCTTTCCAATGCGTGTCGTCGAGTCGATTAAAATACAGGAGCAGGGTTAGTAACCCCTTCTGTATAAAGAATAAAGTTAAAATAAGATGTTTCTTCTTATGTTCGTACCCTCTGCCTCGTGGGGGACGGCCAGTATTGAATATAGTATTTATATATATATATATATATATAATATATTATATATATATATTTTTATATATATATATATATAATATATATATATGTCGTGCCGAAAATATGTTAAAACTGGTCAATTAACAAGAATTATTTAAAATTAAAGTCCTTTCTAAACTTCTTTCTCTTTATACGTTTAAGATATATTTTTTCATTAATGTTATGTAAAAACATTTTACTTTCGCTCCAAAAAATTCTTAGAAAAACTTACCTAAACTTATTATAACAAGAACAATTTTTTTTAGCCTAAACCCAACCTAAATATTTTTAGATTTGCTGATAGTAATTTAATACTAACAAACACAGTGAAATAATTTTTTTTTCGTTAGGTTCGAATGATTTTGGCGAAATTATTGCATACAAAATTTTCGATTGTCCTATGATGCAGATGAGCGGTTGCCTATTTAAGCCCAAGCATCGCAAGTTCTGCCTATTCGGCACGACATATATTATTTTATATATATATACTATATATTATATATATATCATCATATATATATAATATTTATATATATATATATAATATCTATATATGATCCACCTGTAGAAACATTTTTTGTTTTCTGATAGGATTTAAAAAAATTCTAAACATTAAAGAGGAGTATTTTTGTATTACGAAACACCTAAATGCTTATGCTGGTGGCTTTCTTTGTGCTTAGAAACATTTTACAATATGTAAACCACACATTATGTTATGCAAAAAAAAAAAAAATGAATTCTGAAGATGATTATTTTTGAGTTGTGTTGTAAGTACACAAAAATGCATCAAGTATTTGATTGACTTTTAGCGGTTATAACTATATTCCCTCCTTAGTGTATTAACACTTTCATTATTAAAGTATACTTTAAATGAATGTGTTAATATTACTTAGTAAACTTAGTAATATTTTTTTGTAGTCAAGCACATGGACACATCGAAAATTGACGTCAATCCATTTTTTCAATAAGATGCGGCTGGTTTTGTGGGTGATCAGACGTAGTGAGGCGCCTTCCTCCAGGTTTATACAAACTGAGAACTGTAATACGGACGCTGGGCTTTAACAACATAAACACAGGTCATTACTTCCCTCGTTAGTGACGTTCGACAAGGCTGTTTCGAGCATTCAAGATACCATGAGCGAAAGTTGACGACAGACGGTAAACAGCCAGCCTAGTTTCGCTAAGTATAGACGTCGGAAGGTATTGATCCCGAGCTGTGAATGTGTCAGCAGATGGCGCGCGCGACGCCAGACTCCAGCTGGGTAAAGCTTCAGATCCTGCAAATGTAACAGAAAGTCGAATCGACTCTTTTTTAAGTGTGCTGGATGCTGCTGATGCGATGCCTCAGAGTTTTCTCTCCCGGTGCGTGCATCCAGACAGTCTGAATTTGACAGGTGTTTGGCTCCTTGTAAATACCTCATTCAGTTATCCATCCCCGCTGGTTTAGAGGTGAGGGTAGTGAGGTCGTTCCCGTTGAAACTATCAATTTAACGGGGTTAAAGTACTATGAGTGTATTAACTGCTGATTTAACTAAAAAGAAAGGAGTGATGAGGACGGCCAAGTCAAGAAAGGATGTACCCAACTACGACACACGTAAGTATACTGAAGAAATTGTACAGTCTTCCGTGTTGTCAGCCATCATAATAACATATTTTATATTAGGCTCAAAGCTTATGATACACGTCATATCGTCGTATTAATTTCCAAAATATATTCATAAGCTTTCAGTTTGTTTACTTAACAACGGTTTGCATCCGAGGGCTTTTGTTTCTGGTGAGGACTTTGTCTCGTGACTCTGATAAGTCTGTAGCATAAATTGGTACGACAACTTGGTATCCATATCTAACAGTATCGACATGCAGGTACCAGGGAAGTGGGTGCCATAGTCTGGTATCTGGCACTGGGAACGTGAAGGAACATCTGTAGTAAGATATTGATTGTCATAGGGAAACCCTTCACTAAATGAGGACAGTTTGTAACCCTGCCTGCTGTATAGCCCTTGTGGCTTAGCGCTTCTTTTTGATTATAATAATAATAATGTAACCCTGCCTTACTTTCTTGCCCTCCGACCCATTTTCAAATACTCGAACCCACCTACCAAGCACCCAAACCCACGTATTATCAAGTACTCAAAAACCCATCCACCTTCAATCACCAATACCTCTCATCCACCCACCCGGATACACTTCTCTCCATTACATAATTCCACTGTCACAAAAAAAATACTTATACGGTCTTCCACCCTCACACAAACCACTTACACACCCTTCTAACTTAACACAAACACTTATGAGCCCTTTCTCACTCATCTACCCATCCATGCTTGCCAAACACTCGGTCTCACACCTCTACACACATTCTTGGACTGCAGAAATGTGCTTGATACTGTATTACTCAAGAGAAGGTAGGAGTAACAGGGAATTCACTACAGTGGATCAAAGAGTATCTTATGGGAAGGAGACACGTTGATAAAATTGCTCACAAGTTTGTCATGGCTGGGAACCAAAACAAATATGGTACTAGGGGAAGTGAGCACAACTTTGTAGTACCCACAGTAGGTGTCAGACTTCAAACACCTTTTATTGTACAGCAGTAGAGGAGTGGAACGGACTGCCTGCACATATTAAAGCCTGTCGTAGAATGAACCAGTTCTGGAAGAGAGCTGGAAGGTACCTAATGAATGAAACTACAGAAAGGGAGGGGAGTGATTTCTTGTATAGCTGACATTCATGTACCTATTATTGTGACCTAATCATCTCTCAAATGTTAATGTAATAAATTCCACCTTATTCCTAACATATCTTCTTTTATTGTAATTGATTTTCACACAGTTGAGTTACTTAGCTGTTTTAAATTTTGAAGTCTAAATAAAATATTACAAGGACCCCAGATGGAAATAAGTCACTTTGTCAGACTTGGGTTATGGGTTATCTTAGGTAATTTACACTACGTAGTACAATTGTAATTATGTGTACCTGTGCCACAATAAACTTGTTGGAGAGATGTCGGAACTGGAAAGTGTAAGAAGAGGGGCTCAGCATGGATCGATATTGTGACCAGTACTGTTTCTGGCATATGTGAATGACATACCAGAAGAGACAGATGTAGCCCTTCTTACAGATGATGTAAAATTAATGAGAATAAAAAAAATATAAGAGCAGGATTAGTTCATGTGGTTACTGGAATTCAACTTAAGTAAATTGAAAATTATGAAAACTGGGGAAAAGACAAAAAGATCTGAAATTTAAGACTAGACTCGGAACGGTAATTTACACAATGTACAATAATTGTACTGGTGTACCTGTACCTAAATAAACTTAACCAAGTAACCTCCTGGTTACCGCAGCGAAAGCTTGTTTGGAATTCAGGAATCTCAGTCATTCACGACTACATTATACATGTCAGAACCCTCTTGACGTACGCAGCCCCAGCATGGAACCCTCTCTACATATGAAATGGAAGCAGTGGCATACATAGGGTTTGCGCTTGTTGTTTTTAATTTGATAATAGAGGAAGTACTGAGATATGAAGCGAGACTTGTCATAGAGCTTAGGAAAATGAACTATAAGGAAAGGCTAAAGGAATTGAACCTGACGACAGAGGATAGAGCCTGAGAAGACATGATGCTAACGACATGCAAAATACTCGGAAGACTATCATAATAAGGTCCTTCCTATTGTGAGCCGAGAGCTCTACCACTTAAACTACAAATTATAGAGAGAGAAACAAAAGGTGTGACCTAACATTGAATCAAAAACAAAGATTGGGAGCAGGACTCGTGGCCACAACCACGAGGAATTTGAGGTAAATCACGGCTTAATCTCGAAATGGAGGCAGATCCAATTCCTTGAATCGGGAGCTCTTCAGCATCAAGGCACAGACGAGGATGAGAAGAGTTTACACACAAGATACATTAGACCTGCTGTTTAGTAGGTTTAAGTACAAGTACACATAAGTACAATTATCATATATGGTGTAAATTACCTAGGATAGCCCCTTAAAAGTTAGTGACTTACTTCCATTGGAATCCATATGCAGTGATGCTGGTGACAGGCTCTTGATCCAAGGAACTGAACCTATCTTCATCTTAAATCAAGACTAATCACTTCCCATTTCCCAGGCACTGTAAGACCCTCAGATAATTAGCTCTTCGTGAATAAAAGAAAAAAAAACAGTAATCGCCCTAAACGAAACATGTGGACATAACGGTTGATGAGTTTCCAGAATCTTCTACTCCCGGTGCCCGGCGATGGGCCAGGCTTGTCTGGTGCTTGCCTAGTCAGTCAGGCTGTTGCTGTTGGTGCCCCGCTGTCCCACATATCCATCACAGCCTGGTTGATCCGGCATCTGGTGAAGATACTTGTCCAGTTTAATCTTGAAGATTTCTACACTTGTCCCAGCAGTGTTTCTGATATCCTCTGGTAAGATGTTGAGTAATCTGGGACCGCGAATGTTGATACAGTGTTCCCTTATTATGCTCACTGCAACTCTGCTGTTCAGTGGTTTATCTAGTGAAACGTGCAGACAAAATTGAAAAACATGTGTATAAATTTGAGAATCGAACAACGTGAGGAATGTGAATAAATATGGAAACGTCGACAAATAGAGAATCGTCGACAAAGCAACGTCGACACAGAGAAATGTAGACAGATGGAGAACATGGGCACAGTTGAGAAGCGTGAGAGATGTGAACAAATTAAGAAGTGCGGACAAACCTAAGAAATATTTGGACAAAATAGAAAAACGTGGACAAAACTGAGAAACATGCAGACAATATATTGTGTAAGAATGGTATATAATACCGACAAGATGAAATTAAGACACATGTGCAACATCGGGGTATCTTTATTGTGACGTTGCGGCATCAGTCGGCGTTTATCAATACAAATTCTAGGACATAACTTGAAGACAGTAGAACTATATACAGAAGATGAGGTAATCAGTCCCTCAACCTAGGAGTAGGTGCGAAGAGCACCATAAGTCGTGGAGATTTCTGATGCAGAAGAAAGGAGCCTGGCGCTTATATAGTAACGTCAGGTGTAGCAAGACTAGGGCATGTCACTGGTAGGCGGGGATTCCCTCAGTGGAAGTAGGTCCTTCCAAAGAGATGGGTTAGTTGTAGTAGTAGTTGTCGTAGCCGTGACGGTTAGGTACATGTCCTTCAGAATCTAGATTCCGTGATGTTGCAGTGTCTGACAATTTGTGTAGAATTGATATGTTACCGAAAGATGAAATTAAGACACATGTGCAATCATCTGGGTATCTTTTATTTGTAGGACGTTTCGCCATCAGTGGCTTTATCAATACAATTTCTAGGACATAAACTTGAAGACAGTTAGACACTGTCTTCAGTTATGTCTAATTTTGTATTGATAAGGCCACTGGATGGCGAAACGTCTAAATATAAAGCTCCAGATGTTGCACATGTGATTAAAATTCAGGACGGGGGTGCAATATATTACACATCAAGTCACTGGGGTGCGAGTGGGGACCATTTCATTAAAATTCTTGACTACAAAACAAACGCAGAATCGCAATTCTAAAGGAACGACCCGTGAACTCCAGACTCTGTAGCGAGGTACCTAGATGAGTATTAGAAGCTCGTGATCAAAGGAATTGGACCTCCCCTTTCGTATTCTTTGGATCAAACCTGATTGGCTACCTTTCCCAAGTCTGTATAACACCGTACGGGTATATCGCTTCTTCCTAGGTACAGCAGTAATAATTTAGTGCAATGCATATTTCCCAGAGAGAAAAGCGCGTTTTCGCACGCGCCCGCACAAAACCACACACACACACACACACACACACACACCCCACACACACACAACACACACACAACAACACACACACCGCTGGGTAAAAAGGGCCCCGAGACCTTAGCTTTGTAAGGCGTGAAATAACAGCTACAAAACAGGTTTATGGAACGCAGGAACAATCCCACGAGTGTAATTAAAGTTATTGTTAAAGAAAGTGAGAGGAAAAAGCTGAAATCATAATATTTCAAAGGAAACCCCTTTGGGGGGTCTGGGGGGCTTTTGCACATGCACGGGAGGCCCGAAGAAGTGAAGTCACGACAATTTGTGCCATTATCATATAAAGTGAATGATATAAGTGAAGTGCATCTATCATCGGAAGAGTGAAAAAACGCGTGGGAATGGGATGTATGAGAAAATTGGTTTTTAAACATCACGGGTGAAGGATCTCCAAAATAGGGATTTAAGGCCTACGTACACACTTCGTCATCCAGCAGCGTGGCAACGGTCAACCGCACCATTGCAGGCGGTGAAGTTCATTAGCCTATTTTGGGTTGCATGTTGACGGTCGGCCCTGGCTGGCCTTGCCATACTGTTTGATACTGGACACTCACTCTTGCAAGCACTACTTACCAGAATTAGGAATAGAAATAACATAGAGACACAATATGAATATAGTGTTGATGAGTGTGAGAAGGTAGGTGGGACAAGCTTTTAAAGGGCGAACATTGTTACGACGGTGCTAGGTCCAATCCCAGAGGGTTGTGTCAAGGTCACAGAAGTTGCAGCCATCATTACACGGCACAAGACACTCTCACACCACTTTCATCTCACACA